AAACCCGACCTGTTATTCACCCAACCTGAATGTAACCCGACCTGAATGTAACCCGACCTGTTATTGACCCGATCTAAACCCGACCCAAACCGGATAAGGTGTATGACCCGACGTGACTTGACTCAAGCATGACCCAACCCGAACCCGACCCGTAAAGGTTACGACATTAACCCAAATTGACTAGACCCGAGTTGACCCGACTCACACTTACCCAACCTCTTTACCCGAATTAACAGCTCTACCCGAACCCGAAACTTTGGGTTAGGGTTGAGCATTTCTCAACCCGTGACCCGACCGAAAACCCGTAACCCGAAGTGACCTGACCTATCTGACCCAATCGACAGGTCTAATTAACGCCTAACTCTAATGTTATGATGTGAATCAAGAGGTTAATTCTTTTGAAGGGTCTAATACAGTTTTAGAAGGTCCAAATAGCTTTATTATAGTCTGTCAAAACAAAAAAATAAACAAGGAAAGGTCCACTAGATCAATGGGGAAAGAAGGAAGCTTGATCAGCTCCAAGAATGAAGATGTGCAGCAGTTCACTTCCGACGAAGATGACGAAAGCCACGTGCCGGCTCCCGGTCACCGAACTGAACTCAGCTACACGCCGATCAGGCGCTTGTCACCTATAGTGGCGCGTGTGGTGGTGTGTCGACGGCCAGATGAAATGGAAGATTTTTCTTAGTTTTTTCTAGAATTTTGCTTGCAAGTTTTTACCTTTCACTTGAAAGGGTTTTTCTTGGTTTAAGCACTTAGTATAAGTTTTATTTTCTATTATTTAGTTGCTATAAACTTCCTAAGGTTGTTAGGAAAGTTTTTAGTTAGTTAGAGTTTGTTTAGGATTAGTTTTCCTATTCTAGTTAGAAGTAGTTTATATTCTAATTAGGATGCTTGGAGCACAAGGTTAGGGGTTTTTCCTAATCCTTGTAGGAGTAGAATTAGTTGCCTCTTATGCCTATAAATAAGGGTTAATTTTGTGGCTTTTAGATAGAAAAAGAAATCAGATTAAATTCAATACAAATTGTTTAACTTTGTTTAAACTTTTCTTTGCTAGTTTTCAGTTCAAGGAGTTGTTTTGATGATTAGAACGTTCAATGCTTAGTTCTAGGAGTAATCTAATATTTGTTCATCAAAATACTTAGTTCTAGGAGTAATCTAAGTAGTTTGAGCAGTCTTGAATTCGTTCCAGGAGTGGTCGGATTACAAGTCATATCCGGTTACTTTACGTTTTTAGTTCGAATTTCTTATCAAGAACGGGGTGTTTATTTTACTTGTGTGATTTTAGATTCTTTATTAACTTAAGGGGTTTAAAATCCACATCATGTTACTTCACATCGAAAGCTCGAGTAACGCCAACATCAATATCTGTTAACAGCAACTTAACAGACGGAGTTAAATGGCATGGATGTGAAATCCGGGCTGGACTCATGTATGGGCTATTTGTATGTAAGGTATCTCGTTAGACGGACTGGACTCTTTATATAGACTTTTTGTATGAACCATTTTCATATAATATCCAGATAATCCATAGATGGGCTCTCATGTGACGGGCTATACTTTGTATGGGCCATATGTTCATTTTTTTTTAGCTGCTTTAATCACACACAATCCATCTCATACGGCGGGTTGGACTCATACAACAAGTTTATTTTTATTATACATGGGCCTGTGACAAAATGTGGGTTCACCGTGGACTTTTTTTTTTATTTGTTTTTTTATTTATTTTTTTTATATATGTGACCTTCGAAATGGGCTTACGATTGTTAATTATTTTGATCACCTGTTTTATTGTTTACTAAAAATGTTTTGCCTTCAATAATATTCACATTTTTCCTTTAATCGTGTTTTATGATTTATCATATGAAACATATAATCATGTGGGGGCACATTGCTAGACATGATATATTCAACATATCTACAATGTATACCGGACATTAAAAAAAACGAAGGACATACCTTAAAGAAAAGTTTGTTATACACAACACTCTAATTATTTTATAAGGGAAAATTTCATGGAATAATCCCACCTTTAGGTCATTCGTTTTTAATGATCCCACCTTTGGATTATTATTTACCTGCTCGAATATTTTCTCCTCGGATCATGCCCTTAATCCCATTCTTTATGTTACAAAGGACAATTCTATAATCTGAGTCGTAATTTAAGTTATGTGAAGAGTTGCCTACTTGCCTTCCACCTGTTACTAGCCCAAAGAGCAACAGGCTTGGTTCCCTTATGTTGGCGAAATGGTTCCTAGCAAATTCCAAAGGGACATTCTATCCCAAAGATTATTAGTTAGATATAGCAGACTAAATTACTTAAATTTGTATTGACACACTAATTTGTTAAATTACTTACCAGTCTGCCTACAACAATGTATGCTTTGGTGAGGGTGACGCTGAACTCTGGTTTCCCCAAATCCTCCACGGGGGTCAAAGCCTCGGTAGTGTCAACATCACTTGTTTTCCCATCAAATAGAACAAGGTCAACATGAGTGATCTCATTACCATCCCTCTGTACTGGAATTCTAAAAACTTTGTCACCTTTTTAAATTATTTCAAGATTATCACCAATCACCAAGTTGTTTGCTTTAAGGAAATCTTGCCATCCATTTCCAAAGTGCGTTTCAACCCGGTAACCAAATGAAACATAGAGCACATACACGTCATACAACTTAGCTTCTGCTCCTTGTTGAAGTCTAACCTCCTGATAACCTCTGATCAACTTATTAATCCTGGTCGGGATTGACTGCGAATATAAATGTAATATCCCGTATTTTTGAAACATTTTTTCTAATTAATTAACTAATTAGTATTTTCTAAAAAGGCTATTTTAGTAATTAATTCTATTGTTATAATTTTAGAGCCAAAATTATTTTTAATTTTATCAATAATATATAATCTCACTATTGATTTCCAAATTTAAATAAAATAGTAGTACAATAGGTCACAATTTAAATAATATATAATCTATTATTATATAAACAATAGGTCACAATTGTATATAAATAATTTATATATAGTAATTCCTCCATTGTAATTCATTGTACATAAACTATATGTAACAGTATGAGATTAAACTAAAACATTACAAAAGGTCACAATTTTTACAAATAAGGACATAAGCCAATAAGATTCTTATACTTTCTTAGTAACTAACATTGACATAGAAAGTCCCAACTGTTGGAAGATTTAGAGTGTTGATGGTTGCGCGCTCGCAAACCATGAGTAGCGCCCGCGCTGGGTAAGCCTGGCCAGGCTGAGGTCGCGCCTAAACCGCGGACCTCACTGGAATCTGAAGGTTTGGAAGGAGAAAGTTGGCGCGTCCGCGCGTCATTTGGCGCGCCCGCGCGTCCAAGTGGCGCGCCCGCGCTTGGGTCGCGCCTAAACCGCGACCCTCTCTGACTTTCTCTATGAAAATTCGCGGGTTTTGGGAGGAGCGCCCTCTCCTAATATAGGAGCGCCCGCTCCTCCTGGTTGGCGCGCCCGCGCTCGGGTCGCGCCTAAACCGCGCCCCCTTCTGCCTCTTTGGTGAATTTCGGAAGTTCAGGAGAGGAGCGCCCGCTCCTTGTTAGGAGCACCCGCTCCACTCTGAGGCGCGCCCGCGCCTCCTAGTGGAGCGCCCGCGCCTGTCAGTTTTTCGCGAAATTCTGACGGTTAAGTCTTTAATAAAAGGCTTGGTTTTCTTGATTCCAAGATACTGAAATAATTCTGATCTTCTCTCCAAAAAGTATTCTCTACATTTTCTATCAAAAACTTTGCAAACTTTTGTTAGAAAATCTCTTGCAATCATTCCAAATTGTGTGAATTTATCATCTTTACTTCGATTCTAGTACTAAGAACGAAGTGGCTGTCAATTGTATCTCAAAGGAGATTTCCGGTTTAAACCCAAGTACCGTGTGGGGGAAATAAACTTCTTTAGGAAAGTATTCATACGCCTTTGACAGTGTATCAAGGTCATAGTCTCAAGGGGCATTGCTATTCTCATGTTCATGTATGTTTTGATTGGCTTGGAGTAGAGGCAAGTTACATATTCTTCACATTAGTGTTTTGTTTAGAAATTTCTGTAATTTCTTAAACTTATTAATACTTGATTGTAACACCTTAGATGTGTTTGTTGTAATTACTTTACTTTGTTATTGTAATCACATTATTTAGGTTTTGTCCCACACAAGTTTTAAGTGCTTTTCTAGTTTGAATTCACTGAAAACCTAACACCAACTATGTACACAAATTGTTGATTCATAAAACAAACAATAAAACGATACCTAAATAATTTTTTCATAATCAGATAGGGTGCGACCATATGCGTCTGAATCCTCAGACATATCTGGATTTGATCACCATATTGTCCATCGTCTTTGGTGTTCCCGGAACTTGTCCTAGTGTCGTCATGTCGAGCACAAGCCTCCGCAAACCGGTCTTGGAGGAAAATTCGGTACCGTTCCATACTTTCTATGCAATTAGATGCAGCATTGTAACTTGCCATTGCTGCAATTAGAATATAATTATTTTTTTTGTAAACTCTAAATAAAGACAGACAACTTTTAGGAATGAAGAGAGAGAAACTGATGAAGCAACATATTAAATTGAAGAAGCGCTTTGGTTTCATTAAACAACAAGGGGTCTTTTCAACTAAACTAGAACAATTAAATGAGATTATCCATCATTTTTTTTTAGGAAGACACAAATGACGTCATTCGAAATATCACTATTCTTTACTCTGTATGTTGAACAAGTACGAACACATTGCCTAATATAAAATTTCTTTCATACCTTTATTACTGGATTTGAAGATCTCACCATTAGTTAGGATTTATAAAACACTAAATTGTTAAACATTCTAATCCATCATGTATAATAAATGATCAAATTTCATTTATTTTCATTGGTTCTTCAAAAATTAACTACATGGTACGGGAACTCCGAAAGTCCGTCACTTTCTGTGGCGAGTCTGTACGGGAACTCTCCCAGTGAGAGCCTACCTCATGTATAGGCACATGACGGGTGTTGTGGACTTCCCATGGTGTGTGGACTGCCCAGAAACCGTTCAGCATGCGTTGTTTGATTGTCACACTGTTCGTGATCTTTGGGTGGAGTGCGATTGTGTGGAGATGTCGATTTGGCCAACTGGTATGTTTTTTTTGGATTTAGTTGAATCATGGAGCAAGTTGGATGCAAAGAAGGTGAGTAGAGGTGCGATTTTAATGTGGAATCTGTGGAAACGGAGAAACGAGATGATCTTTAATGGCAAGGAAGTTTATCATCCCGTCTTTGTTGAACGTACTCTCCGTCTTGCGGCTGACTGCAACACTTACATGAAGAAGATATACAGAGGGGTCAAAAGGAATCCATGCCGCAGCCCCAAAGTATGGAAAGCACCACCAGAAGGTACTGTTAAACTCAATTGTGATGCTTCTTTGTGTGATGATGGATGGGTAGGAATGGGGGTGATTGCTAGAGATTGGAAGGGGGACGCCCTATTTGCTGCTGCCAGAAGAGTGAGAGCTCATTGGCCTCCAATTATTGGGGAAGGGAAAGCGATTGCTTTGACTATGAAACTAGCAAAACGCTTCGGCTTGACAGAGATTATAATTGAATCGGATAGCCAAGTTCTCATCAATCGCTTAAACAAAGCTTCGATCTTCTTCACTGACCTTGATGCAATTCTGGATGAGATTTTATCTTCTTGTTTTTCTTTTACCTCTGTTGTTTGGTGTCATGTTAAACGGGTCGGTAATGTTGTGGCTCTTAATTTAGCCCGTTTAACGCCTTTTGGTGTAGAACAAGTGTGGGAGAACCACGTCTTTTGTATTGTCATGTCTGTTTCAGTTTTCGACATTCTAAAAAATTAAACAAAAAGTTGGGGATTCAGTATTCAGCGCTCGGGGGGGGGGGGGGGGGGGAATCGATCCCTTGACTACTATGTGTGATAGAGTATGCAAGATATGGACCATTGGGACGGTGCCTCGACCGTGTTATAATTGCGTTAAAGCGCACCTACCTAAGCATATGGTGAATATGCTTGACACTCTTAGGAAGTGAGAATTGACATACGATTAGGGACACGATTAGGGACAAAGCAAAGTAGAGATCCGCCAGTTTTTAAGGAACTTGTAAACCATTCACGGATCATTTAAGGCAACCACGATTAAGGGACAACGATAGGCAACAACGATTGACCCGTGAAGGTTACACTCCATTAATAATCCAAGAGATTACTTACTCCATATGGTTCGGAACCATGAAAGGAGGATCGGGGATGATGGTACGAAGTGAGTAATGGAGTTACATTCGCCCGTATTGGCCTCTACTCGATTTTTATTGTGAAAAGTATATCTTGTGATCTCAATAGCACATAAACAAAGATTTAATTTGCTCCTAACTAAATTAGGCTAAATTGGTTGAATGTTAATGCAACACATAATTCTAAAATATTGTGATCACTTGATTAAACAACAAGATTAAAAAGGAACCTAAATCGGTCGTCCAAATTATCTTATTAGTCGTTATATTCAATTACATATTCCCTTTAAACTTGCAATATGGTGATCAATAAGTATAATAGAATAAACATCAGCATTGGAAGCAATTCAACCATAATATCGTTAATTAAATCAAGGCATAATAATATACCTAATCATGATACTAGAAATAAGAATAATAATAAGAGTAATTAAGTGAATTAATTACTCACGTTCCACGCTTCTTTAAATTGCTACATCATGAATTAAATCGTTAGTAACTTCAAAGAATAATAAATAAAATTGAAATAAGATTAAAGGAAAATAGAGTTAATTTGGTCCAAACCCTCAATTAGTTCTACCTTTCACGTCTTGGTTTAAGTATGGAACTTCGGGTGTTGTACCGACTCCTTGGAGTGCTTAGGGAAGGAATAGTGTAATTAGGAGAATAGGTTTAAGGCTTAAAATGTGTATGTGTGTGTGTTTGTGTGTGTGTGTGAGAGAGAGAGAGAGAGATATGAAAATGTGTGTTGGTGCCCCGAAACTGAGAAATCAGCCTCGTATTTATAAAGAAAATGTGAGGGGTAAGGTACGGAACCCTAGAAACGAGGCGCTGCGAAGATACAAACCTTAGAAATTGCCGTGGCGCGGTAATTTCCAGTTTTTACGCATTTTTAAAACTATGATAACTTTTGATCCGTAAATCGGAATAAGGCATATAATATTCGTTGGAAAGATCTTTAAGTCTACTTTCCAACCCAATTAGAATAAGGTCAAAATATTTAGTGTTTTTTAAGATATGGCCATTTTAGTGCAAGGGTGTTGGTTTTGGGCCGAGTTTTAGTGTTTTTCTCATATCTTCTTCATTTTAATCGGAATTGAGCTTATGATATACCTTTGGAAATCTTATTTCAAGACCTATCCAACCAAATAATATTTGGATCAAAATCATAGGGCCACAAAATCAGTTTTGCTCGGTTTTGTGATGTGGACACGCAAAGAGGAAAATAAGTTATGGTTTGGGAAAATGAGCTACGAATTGGATTGGTTTATGAAATGTATTGGATTGAATATGGATTTAAGTACTCCAAAGATTAAATACTTGAACCGACCAATAATGGCAGTGAAAGGTTGTTCATCATCGGGTTTTGGTTTTGGGGAGACTTTTTTAGGTGTTTACAGTAATCAATATACTTTATCCTTCAAATGATGTCTTTGAAATAAGTTAGTTGTAACCAAAATGAGCGCTTGAGGGGATCGATCCCTTGACCACTATGAGTACAGTGTTAGAGTATAGATACCAGATATGGATCATTTGGACAGTACATCGACCGTGTTAAAACTATAATAATAAAGTATTCTTATCCGTAACCATTGAAAAGTTGAAGGTTTTTTTTTTTTTTTTTTTCTATAGCAATTGAAGAATAAAGAAAACCAAAAAAGTTTAGGTACTAGATATTGAATAATATATTTTGATGTTCAATAATGATTTGAAATAAGTACGAGTAGTACCGAAATATATTTTTAATAAGTACTAGTAATGAAATAGATTTAACTAATTTAATCTATTTTTATATTTCATCACATAAATAATTACAAACGATCATTTTTAGTATACATGCAATGACCCGGACCGTCCCTGGTCAAAAACTAGCTTCCATGTGATTACATATCCCAACACATAATTGTTGCGGCAGTTATATAAATTATTTACCATTGAAAAATTGAAAATTTGATAGTCAATAGTAGTCGTATTTTGAATAATACTCGTATTTTTATTCGCAAATACGGGAGTAGGAACGTCTTAAATGATTCGAGGCACACATAAATTAATTAACAAGTAATTGTTGTGGCATTTATTAAATTAATTTGATCATTGAAAATGAATTTAGGATTACTGTAGGCGTCATTCGAAGCGCGCCTACTTAAGCATGTTGTGAATATACTTGGCACTCATAGGAAGTAGGAATTGACATACGATTTGGGACACAATTAGGGACAAAGCAAAGTAGGGAGCCGCCAACAAGTTTTTAAGGAACTTGTAAACCCTTCACAAATCATAAAAGGCAACCACGATTAAGGGACAATGAAAGGCAACAACGATTGATCCGTGAAGGTTATACCCCATTCATAATCCATGAGATTACTAACTCCATATGGTTCAGAACCACAAAAGGAGGATCGGGGATGATGGTACGAAGTGAGTCATGGAGTTACATTCGCCCGTATTGGCCTCTACTCGATTCTTTTTGTGAAAAGTAATTCCTACGATCTCAAGGCATACAAACAAAGATTCAATTTGCTCCAAACTATATTAGCCAAATTGGTTGAATGTTAATGCAACATACAATTCTAAAATATTAGTGATCACTTGATTAAACAACAAAATTAAAAAGGAACCTAAACGGGTCGTCCAAATTATCTTATTACGTGTTATATGCAGTTACATATTCCCTTTAAACATGCAATATGGTGATCAATATATATAATAAAAATCATCATCAACATTGGAAGCAATTTAGCCATAATAACGTTAGTCAAATCAATTCATAATAACTCTAATCATGATACTAGCAATATAAAATAAAATAAGTAATTAAATTAATTAATTACTCATGTTAGGTGCGCTTCTTTAAATTGCTTCATCATGAATAAATTGTTAGTAACTTCAATAAAAATAAATAATAATGGAAATTAAATTAAATAAAAGTAGAGTTGATTTGGGACCAAACCCTCAAACAGTTCTACATTTCACGCCTTGGTTTAAGTATGGAACTTCGGGTGTTGTATGGACTCCTTGGAGTGCTTAGGGAAGGAATGGTGTAATTAGAAGAATAGGTTTAAGGCTTAGAATAAGAGAGAGAGGAATTAGAATATGTGTTGGTGCCCCGAGACTGAGAAATCAACCTCGTATTTATAGAAAAAATATGAGGGGTGAGGTACGGAAATCTGAAATTGAAGCGCCGCGAAAATAAAACCCTAGAAAGTTGTCGTGACGCGGCAGATTTTGCCGTGTTGCGTCAGATAATGCCGTGTCGCACCAGATTTGACGTGTCGCGACAATTGTGTTTTCTGCAATTTCGTCTAGGTTCATCTTTATCTTTTATATTGCATTAAGTACGGGATAATTGTGAGCCGTTTCAGCTGTTCTAGGTTTAATTAGGTTTAGGGTTTTCATGTTTATTAATCGGGCTCAATTAATAAATAATAAGAAATGGATTAAAAAAGGGTTAGGGCTGAAATATGGATTGGACTATGTTTAAATGAATGTTTGGACTGATTTGTTGATTGATTTGCAAGCTATATTTGACTGAATATGGATTTTAAGCACTCTCGAAATTAAATACTCGACCCAACCAATAATGGCGGTGATTGTTCATCATCGGGTTTGGTTTTGGAGACATTTTTAGGTGTCTGCAGAAGCCCCCACTTTGACTTAGTACGTAGGAACGTAAGTTTCGTAAACGATAGTCAAAGTAGTCGATTGGGACGGAGAATGATTTAAGACGTTCTGCGATCCTAAATCACTTTGTATACGTCGATACATGCAGAAAAGTGTTAGTTCCACAGATAAAAGAGTAAGGGTATTGAATGCATATCTGACTCCAGTGTATCGGTGGCAAATATGTTTAATAGTTTTCAACGCCTCGAGAAATTCACTGGATGATAATTTTCCATTCCTCGGGAATTCTGTTGTGAACAACTATGCCTCGAGCGATCCACTAGAATAAAAGGTGACAAGCTTCCACGCCTCGGGAAACATGTCGTAAACACCTACGCCTCGAGCAGCCTACTAAATGATAAATGATCACTGAGTATTTGAAGAATGATGATGGTTCGATTATCCCCGAACGTGGGCCGTAGATGGTTCGCTTATCCCCAAATGTGGGTCGTAGATGGTTCGCTTATCCCCGAACGTGGGTTGTAGATGGTTCGCTTATCCCCGAATGTGGGTCGTAGATGGTTCGCTTATACCCGAACGTGGGTTGTAGATGGTTCGCTTATCCCCGAACGTGAGTTGTAGATGGTTCGATTATCCCCGAACGTGGGCTGTAGATGGTTCGACTATCCCCGAACGTGGGTTGTAGATGGTTCGCTTATCCCCGAACGTGGGTTATTGATGGTTCACTTATCCCCTAACGTGGGCTATCGATGGTTCGCTTATCCCCCAACGTGGGTTATTGATGGTTCGCTTATCCCCGAACGTGGGTTGTACCTGAGACTTGTAAAATGGGATTTTCCAAAGGACTCGCATAAACTGTGATTGACTTGACCAAGCTTGACTTGACACGACATGACATGTGTATGACTTATGATTGTGTGTGTATGTGTATGATTTGAGTGCGTGTACAGACACGAGCAAAATATTTCCGTCATTTTTTTCATGTTTT